AAGATGGATGTGGAGTTGACAGTGGAGGAGAGGAACTTGCTGTCGGTGGGGTACAAGAATGTGATTGGGGCTCGGAGAGCTTCATGGAGAATCTTATCTTCAATAGAACAGAAGGAGGAATCCAGAGGGAATGAGCAGAATGCTAAGCGGATCAAGGAGTACCAGCACAAGGTGGAGTCAGAGCTCACCAACATTTGCAGTGACATCATGACTGTCATCGATGAGCATCTCATTCCTTCATGTACAGCTGGCGAGTCGACCGTGTTTTACTACAAGATGTGAGGATGGTCTTACCCTCAGTTATGTTTGAGTGTGATTTTTTGTTTTATTAGGAAGTTGACTGGGTTCTGTCGTTTGCAGGAAAGGGGATTATTATAGGTATCTTGCAGAGTTCAAGACTGGTAATGAGAGGAAAGAAGTTGCTGATCAGTCACTGAAGGCATATGAGGTATACTTAATGTTTGGGAATCCATAAAGCATATTGCTTGAGTTCTATTATCAGGTAACATATTCCACTCGACTCGATATATTGACTGAAATCCTTTCAAGAATGCATAGAAGACTGGATGGGCAGGACAGAAATTTGTCTTGGTGGAGAGACATCATGTTTGTGGCTCTTGATGTGTGGTTGACTGTGGTATTTGGGTTTTATTTATCTAACAGGAATTCTAATTTGTCCATTTCCTTTAAAGACATCGCAAGAGACATTATTAAGTTAGGGAAACAAGAAGACGTCTCAGAAGCATATAGGAATCTTTGCCCAAGAAAGTAGAAATTCACCATCTGCTGCGATGAGTGTTGCAGTGTTGACCACTGTATAAAAATACATTCACCCAGCTCGTAGTGATATTAAAGGACAATAGTATTAATTTTATTTTGCATGCAGAGGAAGTCATTAACTGCTTAAGGATTTGTGCAAGGGCAAGGAATGTGGTGCTTCATCTCATCTTATCTTTCAGTAATAAGCTATCAATGTATTCCAAATGTTTGACTCTCAAAATTACAGAGGTGTACTTGCTTGTATTTTCCTTGTCATTCTCATTCCTTGACATCTCGAGTTGGTTTGCCTCCGAAGCACATGGGTTACCACTTTACCTGTCTTGAAAATTGGGAGCCCTGGATCTTAATTTGGTAGAGTAACTTGGTTGCTTCTATGATAGTGTTACTTTCGCATTGTTTGAAAAGAATTCAGTGAAGCCATATATCAACTTTTTTGGAAGCATACATTTTAGGAGCTCTGGCTTTGTGGATATCTTAATGAACTTTCTTCATTGTCGAGTGATATCAATTTACTCTCGATCTCTTTCAGTGTGTGTGTGTGGGTGTTTGTGTGCACTCACATACTTACTTTTACTTCTGGAATCTGCTTGCAGACAGCCACCACCACAGCCGAGGCTGAGTTGCCTCCAACACATCCCATTCGTTTGGGTTTGGCATTGAATTTTTCTGTCTTTTACTATGAGATTATGAATTCACCTGAGAGGTTTGTCTTTTACAGTCATCGTGTCGATTCCAAAAAATATTTCACATTTTCGTACTGTACAGTCTTTTTTATTGCAGAGCTTGTCACCTTGCTAAGCAAGCTTTTGATGAAGCAATCTCCGAGCTGGACAACTTAAATGAGGAGTCATACAAAGATAGCACCTTGATTATGCAGCTTCTTAGGGACAATCTCACATTGTGGACCTCTGAGATACCAGAGGATGCAGGTACAATAGTAGTTATCACAATATCACATGGCTTAAATCTTACTGCATTTTAATTGCTTTTGTGTCAGATTTTAGTTGGTCTTCTTTTACGAGGTGTATATTCCCCTGCCTAGGTTGTGAATGATCACTGCAATCTGTAAGAGGATTAAATGAAAGTGCACTCACTATATACTTGCAGATTAATAAATATAATCAAATGATAATTTCAAGCAACTTTCTGATCTCTTCATATTGTCATCACAGATTTTGAGAGGTGTTGCCTTCTTTATAATATTTCTACAAACGTCTACCATGCGATTTTTTATATTAATATAAAATGGTTTGTTTCATATAATGAATGACACACATATATTTACGTGTAAGGAAGTGCAGAACTAAAGAAATATGTTTCTACAAAAATGAAACCCCAGTTTCTATATGTGACGATATCATGTCTTTGAGATGGAATGGATAAACATTATGGAAACCAACAAGTTAAATTTTGAATGTGATAATAAATAATCCAAGAAATGTTACATTTTTCTAATCTTATACTGCTTTCCTTTTGCGCGCTGGACAGAAGAGGCACAAAAACTGGATGCTGCCAAGAAAGCTGGAGGAGAGGGTTCGGAGGTAGGCTGCTTTCGTTTCCATTAATTTATAAAATCTTCGTGTAATCACGACTTGAAATAAAATAAAATAATTTGTGGATTCATTCTTTTCCTTGCAGTGAATCAGATGGATGTCAGTTTGGGGGAGGGAGGATGATGATACAACACAACCCCAGAATAGTTGATTTTATTGTGTGTCCTTGTTATGGTTTAATAGTTTGAAAACCTATCTTCCTCTACTGAATGGAGTAGTGTGTGATTAAACAGGTGGTTTTATTTTTTCAATTACTACCTTAGCCTAGATGAAAGATATGTGTGCATTTTTTCTCTCTCAGATTAGTGTCTCTAGAGGCAACTTATTGGGGATTTTACCAACTTATTCTCATCTAAGTTCACGAATATGGAATATTTAGCTAACGCAGCAAGTAGCAGGCACAAGAATAAAAGTTTACAAGAATGAATCTGGAAATAAATAACCAAAAAATAATATGTGATTTGATTCGCTTTCCATTCTGGTTGTGATTGAGCAGCCGTTGTTTGGTTGAAAAATTTAAAATAACGGGCTTTCTAGAATGGGAACTTGCATCATTGGTCCCTATCTCAATGTTTGCAACTTGCAAGTTAGTCTAAGTTGTAAAATTGTACAAGTATTTCTCAACAATTCAAAATTCTATTAAATCGTCTACTTGGGCATGACCGACCGAAGGGCAAAATTGTGCCCCTATTTGCTTTAGACAAAAATAATAATTTTTAATAAACATTGACGGAATGCGTGTTTGAAATTTTTTGAATCTCACAAATGTAAGATTAAAAATTAATTTTTGATTTTGATTCAAATTTTAATTCAATTATGTAGTTGAATCGACAAAACTCGGAAGATTTTACCCTAACCCTTCGACAGTTGAATAATTAATTATATTGGACGTGCAATTATTTTGTCATTTTCTTTTTCGTTTTATAGTGACTAACCTGTTCTTTTATTGGATGTATCTTCGAAATAGAGAGGGAATAATAATAAAATAATAGCATTTGGCATATGCCAGAAAAATACTGCAAGTACAATAAGGCGGGAATTCTCCCTCTCTCTAAATTCTATACGTAACTGCCACCGGACCTAATTGCCATGGGAATCGATCCCCCTTTCAGTATATTAACAATACGAATTTCCTCTTTTTCACTCCCAATATACAAATATTCACACACAATCACTCAAATTTAACGTTCTAACAGAAAAAATGGAAAGCTCTAATGGTGATGTGAAGGCCTATATATCTGCTGTTATATTTGATTTGGACGGAACCCTATTAAGCACAGGTGTGTAATTTCGCTTCTTTTTATTGATTTCTGCAAAACTGATGGTTTGGATGCATAATTATGCGTTTGAATGTTTTGCAGAGCAAGTGACAAGGGATATTCTGAAGGATTTCTTAGCAATATTCGGTAAGGTGCAGGATAAGGAGAAGGAGAAGAAGAGATTGGGTATGGCCAACAAGGAAGCGGCAATTGCCATTGTCAATGATTATGAACTTCCGCTCACGCCTGAACAGTTTACCATAGAAATCATGCCCATGTACCATGGTTTGTAAGTACAAATACTTCCATCTCCACATTTTTTTAAATACTTCTATCTCTACTTATGAACACTGAACATGTATATATTTTATAATGAGAGGAAATTACATTACTTGTTCGAAGTTGTAAATTTTCTTTATGTAAAATCAATTTTTTGAATCGATTATTACAAGGATGAAATTTTAAAAATTAAGCAGTAAATAATTCTTTCGTGATTGTGATAGGTGAGTTTAGACACTAGAGTCGACTTCAAATTCCCGTTTTCCATCTTACAAAACACTCCATATTGTTAAAAAAATATGTAGACTGCTTTATATGGTTGGGCGAGAGGGACTGAGTCTTGAAACTAAACTTGGGCGTTGCATCAAAATGCTAATAGTAGAATCATTCACCACAGAAAAAATGGATGTGGAGATTTCATATACGTTCTTATTAAAAGTTTTTAACAGAATAAATATGCTACCTTTACTGTACCCTTGAGGGGGCAGGATGAAAATGAGCCAAGGGGAAATTGATATGCTAGCTTCAAGAATGAGGTCTGTGTGATTTGCGCTCTTAAGCTGGATTTTCCAAAGATGGAACGACATATCCTTTTTTCCCCAAGTTTAATCTTTGCTATCATTCTGAACCAGATTGAGAACAGTCATCCGTTGTTTCGTCATGCTATTTTTTCTCAAAATGCTGGCAACTTAAGGCTTTTAATGCTAGTGCCTAGTATAATGAAGTTGTCGAGATGTACACTTCATAAATTTTGATGAGCATGAGTTTCTTGAACTATATTTTCTCTTTTATTGTTTTGGATAATTTTTATGTAATTCTTATTCTTTTTTATGTTTCCTTGTAGATGGCAACAAGCCAAAGCACTTCCAGGTGTCAATCGTCTTATGAAACATCTTCGTAAGCATGGAGTGCCGTTTTCCCTTGCTTCAAACTCTATAACGAAAAACATTGATGCAAAAATTTCTCACCATGAAGGTCGTGATGTTCTTTTCACTTTCTTACTATATTGGCCAAAATCATCCATTCTTTACATCACGATTCTTTTTATGATTATCATGTAGAAGTTTCATCATTATTGTTTCATTTGATTATTCATGAACATGTTTTTCATAGTCAGTTCTCTGCTTTCTAAATTTTTCAGTATGTATAGTTTACTAAATAGCCTGGCTACTGTTAATAATTTCACAACTACCACCGCTGGCTTTTGTTTTCTAAAACTTAATTACAGTGACTACTTTCTAGGACTGTTCTTGAATATTGACTCTGGATTATTTTTGCATACATTGCTCTGTTCAGGCTTACTTTTTTCCTTTTATCTTTATTAATTTCCAGCACGCTAAATTCGAATTTCTCATGCATCATGTTGTGTTTGAATGGCCTTATAATGACAAAGTTTCTCGTTATAGTCCTCCTTGAATTGTATGTTTCATGTCTCGCTTGCAAAATATGCGTAGTGCATCTCAAGTCACGCCTTCTCTCTGCATCATATTCAAGTTCCCCTCTTTTGTGTTTATAGGTTGGAAAGAAAACTTTGCAACAATTCTTGGAATTGACCAAGTCAAGTCAGGGAAACCCTCCCCAGATATGTAAGATAGTGATTTTTTCTCTTAGCTATGCCTTAGAGATTTTTCTTTGTCCTGCATGAAATGTAATAATGGCATTTTATTTTCTTTCTGTTCAATTTATTTTCAACATTAAAGAATCTTGATGTCTAAAGCTTCATATTCATATAATGGATGATATTAATTTTTCAGAATAAACAGTCAGAAGCTTTTCAGTGAATATTGTACATGGGAATTAACCCTTTGTTTCTATATCTGGTATATTAGGATTTTTCCTTTCAGAGTCTTTTTCCAATTAAAAACTGTCCATCAGGTTTCTGGAAGCTGCAAACAGAATGAGTGTAGATCCAGCCAATTGCCTAGTGATAGAAGATTCCCTGTAAGTGACAATATTATAAGTCTTTTTTTATTTGGTTTATTTGTTTTTTGTCAAAGTTATCAGCATACTTTATTATAGCAATTCGTTGTTAATCATCTAAATCACATGGTTCCTCGCTGGTGTCCATAGAAGGAAATTATATGCCTTGACTTCATTATTCTTTGACTGAAAACAACCATGCCCATATATTTTGAGGTAACTAGAGGTAGTTTGAACCAAGAAGAAGGAAGCAAGTAAAGTGAACTGACCTGGCACAACGTCGTACAAAAGAAAACATGGAAATCTTTCAGCAATATTTGTCTCATGCTATTCAGTGAACCTCTTTATAAACTGATTGATGGAGTACTTCATTACCCGTTTTTGTCTTTTCATGTTTACAGTTTTATTGACCTCAAATTTAGTCACACTACAAGAGATGTTGAAATTTCAATTTTTTCCTAATCATGCTTTATTTTCTTTTCCTGTCATAAGAGTAATTGATTTGTCTAAGCATTGTTTAGTCATAGGAAGAATGCTTTGAGTTAGTTGACCTGCTATTCTATCATTTGCGATCAAATTTAGTACAAGACCAGATTAGCTTTACATTCCTCAAAGAGAATAGCATTCTGTATGTTATTGAGTTGGGAGTAAACTTTTATTGTATTTGAAGCGTAGCCCAGTCTAAATTAGCAATCAGCTGAAGCTCTATTTTTGTGTGTGCGCGCGCGCCCACACTCAAATCTTATCTGAAAACATAAATTTATTCACAAAGTTATTTTCATAGACATGATCACATGTTGTAAACTTGGTCCCTGCTATATATTATGAGATTCTTTTTGCTTCTGCAACTGTTAATGTGTACATTTCCTCGCACGAGAGTTGAATGATAATCTTCCACGTTTGCTATTGCTGGGGTTTGGAGCAGGATAAAGTCCATATTGATTTCATTTGTGAGATAGAGGACCAATATCTCTTATTTCAAGCTTTAGATGGTGTTTGGTGGGGATTAAAATTAGATTTTTAGTGGATTGCGATAGAAGTTTTTGAAATGTGTGGTTAAAAAAATGTGGGACTTATAAAAGATGTGGTTAATATTGATTGTTTGACTTTAACTTAGATTAAAATCAGATTTTAATCCGGCCCAAACAAATTGTTAATTTATATGCAAACTGGATGAGCAGTTTTAGGTTTCAAATGTGAACGTTTGATACATAGTTACCGAAGGTGGAATAACTCATTCTTGAATATCTTCTAAGAATACATTGACAGAAATGGTACATTTTGGAACTACCCAAGAGACTTATCTCGACATGATCAATGGCCAGTAATTAGATATACTTCACTCTATTGTGCATGTACAAACTGGTGCAGGAAACTGCATTACTATGTACATTCTTCTATGAATTAATTTTTTCTTCTCTAGATTTGTAGCAATCTTAGTATATTATAACTTGATTTGTCAAGCTTTTGATTATGTAAATAAACATTCCTTGTAAATAATATGGTTGTTGACTTTATTTTTTTACATTCGTTTTTATTTTAAACCATGATTTATTGCACTTCTTGTTTCCAACAGCGTTGGTGTCAAAGCAGGAAAGGCTGCCGGAATGAAGGTTGTGGCTGTGCCATCACTCCAAGTAGAAAGTCACTTATATTCTATTGCCGATTCCATACTTCATTCGCTTCTAGAGATTCAGCCACAACTATGGGGTCTACCAAAATTTGGAGACTGTATGTTTATTGCCAATTTATCGACTATCTTGCTAATGGTCTTCATTTCATTTAATATGAATGGTTGCTCTTAAATTGATTATGCAGGGGTTGATAATACTTTGCCAATTGAACCCATCCGTATAACAGGTCTATTTAGCAATGGGCTACTCCTGGAATATGAAGGTTTCAAGAATTATTTTCCTTGTGTCTGTTCTGTTTTGAGTTCTTAAAAGCGTTTGATTCTTTAAACACCATGTCATGTATACTTATACCTACACATTATTTTTATTTGTTACACTTGGAATATGTTTTACTTGTTCAACAAATATCTGATCTGATTAAAAGTGTGTAAATCTAGATGGTGGATGGTCTGCTCTTCCTGATCAAGTTTGGGGACTCTACATTGGATGGGTGAAATTTGACGAACAGAAGGTATCCAAGGGTGTAATCAGTGTAGGATGGGACTTGAAATGTTGTGATTCGAAGAGAAAAATTGTGAGTATATCATTACTAGAACCTATTTTGTCGAATATTTTAGGCTAAAAAGAATTATTTGCATATTCTTTATTCATAAATTTTAGGCAAAAGATTTCCTTTATTGTAATTTTAAAGGTAAGATGATTTCAAAAATTTGAAGAATCTCCACAAGTAGTACATACATATTTATTTTGGTAGCCACGTATATGATTTAGTTCTACTTTTTCTTGCCATTCAATTTACTCATATAATATATACTTGTGAATTGGCATATTTCCTTCCCCTTCTTTCTGGATGCCCTTTTCTGATATTTGCCAGCATTTGCGAACTTGGACTCCAATTGCTGGTGCCAACATGTGTACCTGATTTAAAATGTTTTTATTGGCTTCAAATTAGAACATCTCTGAAAATTTTCATCATCTTATTTTTTTCTCAACTACAGTGTAACTTTAACTGCTTTACGCCTCTAGAAAAGGGGTTTCTACTTGTTCGACGGTGCATGGCATTCGTTACTGCTATTTATTTTACTTCTTTACTTTCTTAATCAATTTATTTTCTCATGACTGACCGCTCCTTTTCAGCAAGCATGTACAGTTGAGGGTAACGACGAGACCATAAATGACAGTAAGATGCAGATACTGCTTGTGGGCTACCTTCGAAGATCATGTCACGTGGTAAACCTCAACACACTTAATCCAAGATACTCGTGGTTGCATAGTACAAGTGCACTGTTATCACGGGAACATTAGTTTTCACTCATCAAATCAGATGATTAATTTGAAATTGGTCTCGTAAGCAGATTAGAAAGATTGATACGCATTGTGTTAGCGTTTATTCATGAGATCATTAACTATCTTTTAATTTCGTCGTCCTGCCCACCCATACAAGCACACGGCACACACATCAGACTCGAATAAATAATTGCCATCTTGTATTCATCATGTTATCATAAAATAATAATAATAATAATAATGAGATTTTATCTTTGATGCTTTATTTTCTTCTTTCTAAATGCTATCTCACCGATGAAAACTACTATCTACATATTATACTAGCTTAAATTCTTACTTTATGGGCTTTTTTGTGCAATGAAATTTGCTATTTTCTTTTGTTGATTGAAACTTCCACTCAGCACTTTCTAATTTCTATGCACAATATACAGGGAAATATGCTGGAGAACCTAGAAATACTCGAAGAAGACATATTGGCTGCCCGCGCCTCCTTGAATTTGCCTGCGTTTTCCTACAATTCATTGAATGCTTTCTTACAAGGAGATTCTGTTGAAGATAGTTTTACTGCCTTGAATGACAATCACTAAGTATGTTATCATCTGAGTTCTACAGATGCTCTGATAGCCATCTTTTGTAACCCAAACTAGAATTTTATAATGTCTTGAAAGGTGAATATTTTATTGTAACAAGTTGGTCCTAACTGTTTTTTCTTTTCGTGGATGTCCAATAATTCAAGTTTATAACGAATTGATTTTCAGTGGACAGTTTTCTACACTTGATTGTTGAAAAGGCACGTGTCACATTCAATTTTTTGAGGGGTAGCCAATGAGAAATAAATAAAAAAGAAAAGAGCTGGAAATTTTGTGAAAGTCTAGATATATTTTTCTATTTCATATATTTTAGACCAATAAATAAATAAAATAATGTATACCTTGGAAAAATATAAGAACTTTATACTAATTTCCTACAAAAATATAATTTTAAAAATCATAAATACTGTAAATCAATAATGTTTAGTTGGTGACAAAGAAAACCATGCTTGTGGACTGAGTTTGGGCATTTACGGATTTTTTGTTTGACATATTTCCTTTTTTAAGTATTCCATCACCATCACCATTGCAATGGCTAAAACATGGAAAAAATTTCATATCTAAGAGAGACTCATTTCAAAACTAAGAAATAATGTTTAAAATTTCAAAAATCAGATATTAATTAAAATTTATTTATGAAATAATTAATTAAAATATTAATGTCACAATTATATACTATTTGGTTACAAATTATCGAATTAATTGATCACAAATTATTTCTCAATCACTTATAAAAAAAAATTATAGGTCACAAATTAAAAATTTTATAGATCACAAATTAAAAAATGTATAGATCACAATTTATTTATTGGTCATAATTAACAAATTTTATAAGTCGCGACTAAAATTTTTTTGTCACATTATTTGTAGGTAACAAGTTATCGATCACATATTATTTATTGATCACAAAATATCCAATTCGTTGGTCACAATCTCAAATAATTGATCACATATTATTATTGGTCACAAACAACGAATATATTGGTCACAATCAACCAAATAATTGATCACAAACATCCCCACGCCACGCCACGCCACGCCACGCCATCCCACCCACAATCAATGCACCGCCTCCACCACCTCACTAACACCGCCAACATCAACACCAACACCAAGTCACTATCGCAGCAAATATCACAACCACCACTGCCCAAACACCACAACAAATCAGATCCAAAATCATCGGTCACCACCATCTCCTCATGAAAGAACACTTTGATTCATATTGTTAAATAAGTTAAAAATAGTGGACCTCCACCCCATAGTGTCACCTGTGAGAGCTCCGATGTTAGAGAGACTCTCACCCGTGGAGGGGCTGAATCTGTAAAGAGTAGTCAGGTGAGACGACATGGCTGAATCATGAAGAAGTGGTGGGACTAAACCAGCAATGATCTCATCTGTGGCGACAACTACGAGAGTACACCTGTAACTGAATCAGCGGCAATCTCACACAAGAAGCAACACCACTTCATAGCCTCAGAGTGTATGCAACGACACTTGCTTTCGTCGGGCCGCACACAGCTACTGCTCGAAGCTAGTCGTCGATGAGAGCTGCTGTTATAGAGAGAGAGAGAGACAGAGGAAAAAATTAGGGTTTGGGTGAGTGAGGTGGGGTGGATGGAGGTAGGGATCGTATATAAATTAATTTAATTTTATAAAATTATTATTCATAATAAATTATCATTTCATTTTTATATAAACAAACCTTAAATCTGATTTTTGAAATGGTAACTTAAAAATCTGATTCTATATAATTTGATTTCCACTCAACATTTTGCTGGACCGAACTTCAAAAACAAGAAAATGCCATTAGCCAAATAAATAGGGTCGTGCCTTTTTTCATCTAGACTAGATATGCCTTGAGCAATCCATGTAGTGTTAACATCTTTTTCTCCATCTGGGTGCTAGGCATTTCTAATCACATGTTTGTGGATCCCATGTCTTATGGGACAAGGACTTACTCGCCATAACATGCCCTTATTCTTCTTCTTTCTTTTATTTAACCGGAATTTTACTTTTTGATTCAACTTTTTAGTAGTTTAGAATGTTTTAAAGGATTTTATGAAACTATTTTATATAAGTCGGCTTTTAAAACTAGAAATAAAACATTGAAGACTAAAAAGAAATATGACGATCATTATATCCTACAACGAAAGTGTAGAGAACCATCCTTTTCCCATCCAATTTGCTTCCTTTTTCTGTCATTTGTTACGTTTCTTCTGTGTTTATCGAGAATAGCGTGTCTTTTTGCAATGTAAGAAATTAATCCCTAAAAATAATCCCTTTCATATTCTGAACAATTGACTTGTAGGAATTATGAGAGGGAATACTTATGATGTGAATTGGTTCTTGAAAATGTCAAATTGGATATTAACGCCTTTTGTAAGCTAGGAGTATCCTTGCTGGCGTTTTAGAGAGAGAGAGAGAGAGAGAGAGAGAGAGTCAACACAAGGATGAATTATTATTTATTTATTTATTATTTGCTATTTTAGTTCAGAATAAAAAAGGGATTATTGCAATATCACCAGCTCAGAACACATGCCGAGTCCGATTAACGCTAGATAGTGTAAAATACAGGACAATTCTACTATTATAACTGCAAAATCATCCCCCAGAGAGATTCACAAAGGACCTTTTATTTAATTTAAGACACTTCGATACCTGGCTCAGTCAAACACAAGTCTAAGGCTCTAAGCTTGGTTTGAACAATTTCTCCTCAATTCCATGGAGTCGAGCCTCTTAGGAGATTAAACTTCAAAACCATCAGTTGCTCGACTGACGCAATTCAGGACGGACAAAATCAGCATCTGGGGGCACTGATATGTCCACAGTAGGTCTCAATTGGGCACATACTTCAATAGCTCCATGTACGGGATCTGATAGGAAGTTGCTAATGAGATCTTGGTTAATGGGAGCACCTTTATCCACTGCTACCAAAGCCTGCTGTGTGAGAATGTAGTCGAAACGAGGGGCCCACTTCCTTGATCCTAGCCGTGCTGTTGTTGAACAATTGTCAACCATGAATGAAATGCCTCGAGCATGCATGAAAGGATTTAAAGAATCCACAGACTCGATGACACTCTCGTTGATAATCTCTTGAGTAGGAGTGCCCTTTCTTCCTTAGAATCTCAATCTATAATCACATTCAAAGTAACTTCAGGGAATATCATCAGATAAAAGGTACAAAAAAACCTATTTGCCAATCCATTTTTTCCAGCTAAAATATCATTAATCTTTCTGAAGTAAACTGAACAGACACTTGAGACCAATTCGAGCAACATGCATTAGAGCAGAGATCAAAACTTAAGTATGCATTACCACTTTTCAGATCAACTGATTAACAGTCTGCTATCACTACTCTCAGCAACACAGATTTCACATCATAATCACTTCTAGTCTGCGTATCGCTAGAATATGCTATTTAAAAAGAATATAAGTAAGAAATAAATTTAAGTCAAGATTCCAAAAGAATCCTCACCTGGGCCATCATCAATGCCACATAGCAACCAGCAGTGAAAGGATACAAAGGTCCCAAGTCACCTGCTGGACGTGCTGCTCGAACTTTCTCACCAACTTTCCACATCCGTGTCTGGTCAATGTTCCCCATCGGAAAAGCTGGTAAACCTTCCTTCTCCTGCATGGAAGAAGAGAGAGAAGAATGACAGAAAAAAATAATAATAATAAAATAAAAATCATAATGCTTAAATTGTGATGATAGAAAAGAATCCAACATACATAAAAGCGACGTCCAGCCAAGACAACACTCCTGATCTCACTGCAACTAGCTACATCTTCATAGCACTCGTATAAGATGTCCATGCAGGGATAATATGAAGCGCTATATGCAGTCTCAAACTCCTTTTTGCCATCTTCAGTCAATGAATTGTAGACAGCCAGCATACCCTGTCACAAAATACAACATAAAAATTGAATTAGGAGGTACATCAAGCACAAAAAGCAGTGGAAAGGATCAAATAAAGTATGCAGCAACATATATATAACAAGAGTAGATAAAGTAGGATGAAAAACTAATGATACTAAAACTAACCTTTGTTGATATGGTTCTAGAAATAATTCCCGTTATGCACTCCACAGTGTTCTTGTAGGCAAGATCCTCGCTCATTCCATTTTCAGTGTACCTTCTGAACAATGATTCCACAATACCATGTACAGCACCGAGTAAAATGCCTATCAATCAGAAAGTTGACATTCATGATTCATCATCAAGTCAAATGGAAATTAGTGACATTAAAAACCACTCTTACCTCTCTCCCCAAAAATATCACTCTTGTACTCCTGCTCCAAAGTAGTGGCAAAAGTGAAAGGAGAACCAAGGGCAACTGACCATCCAAGGGCAACGTCTGTAGCTCTGCCATCAACATCCTAAACACGAAGACAAAAAAAACCATCAAATCTCATTTATCAAGAACCTCACATGTGCACACATGCCCACCCTCATACACACCACAACCACTATCTCCAAACTCACAGATGCACAAACCTGGTGGACAGCAAAACTTGAATTAATGCCAGCACCATTGATTTCTTTCCCCTGCACATATAACCTTCTCACAGAGGGTCCCATTCCCTTTGGACATACAGCTATCACACTGATGTTTTTTGGAAAGTCAAGGCCCAATGACTGCAAATGGCCCAAAAGGAATCCATGGGAGAGTCCAAGTATGCTATTTGGTTTCATGTGAGAGAACACTTTCTCATAATTATCAGCCTGCATTGCATGACTAAATTGAGAATGAGTTGTTCCATAAAATTAAGATGAACATATATTGGCATCATTTTAATCAGTATTCAAATGGAAAAACTTGGAAGCTGATAAAATGATTGATAACAAAAAACAGTGATACTCTCATCTGCTAGTTCCTGTAAAATCATTTTTTACACCAAATAAAAAAATTCAAATTCATTTTTAAATACAGAGAGAGCCACATAAAGAGGATGGCACCAAAGCCCTCATGGCTAAATAGAGAAGGCAATTTGATACCTGAGCTGCATCGGATATCAAGAGCAGCACCAAATCACTGTTAGAGACAGTGTCCCATATGTCCCCCAGGGTTCCATTTTCTTCAGAAAACCCAGCAGCACGAGCCTCAGCAAAAGAACGAGAACCCTTCCTCAAACCAATCTGCATGAAGTAGAATATGGGGACAAGCTTCATATGAGGAAAAACTCACATTATTTCTTTAATATGACATAAGTAGAAACAAATAACAAATTACCTTGACCACAATATCAGATTTTGCTTCAGCAAGAGAATCCCTCAAGTTCTGAGCTTGAGCTGGTCCCTACACGAATGCAAAAGAGTTTCTATCATCTTGACTGAAATCAATAGAACATCATGAAGAGAGCGGTTTGACTTCTGTGCCGACACAAATTCACAATAAAAAAAAAAGCTCGAAAAAGGGAAGATGTCCACATTTCAATGCATCAATTATTTGGTGACAGGACGCCAAGTGTGCTAGACTGCAGTTATGGCAGGATTGACTTAACATAACTCCCCAATGTTCCATGGAAGAATATCATTTCCCGAGGCTTTTTGGGAACAGCAAAACAGACGGTTGGTGCAAAGTCACATATATACAATATGCATTTCATTCCTTTTCAAACTTTACCAACCTAACATAAATGTATGGAGATAAAGGAAACTCTTCAAAAAAAAAGGAGCATTAGCGCAGAAACCAATGACCACCACAAGCAGTGGCGGAGCCAGCACCCAGTGCTTGCTCCATCGGTGTTAATTTTTTTCTTCACTTCAGCAACTGAATGGGTGAAAGGAAAACAAATGAAGTATTCACCATCAAGAATATGTAAGTTTGTAACTTTTTCATTCAGTTTAATGCCTCATCTTTGAAGTATCTCCTTTGGTTCATCATCAGTGACATGAAACCTTCATTAGATCGTTTTATTTGCTTTTAGTTCACACTTCTTTAAGGCTCATTTGCAACATCATACGTTCTTTGTTGTTGTGTTAGTGGACCTTGATCCTCGCCATTTGAAATTGTCACTTGGGGGTTTTCTCAAGTGTTCTGTTTATGGCACTTGAAATTTGTCTTTCGGAATTTTTCTCAACCTACTTTGCCTTGCCATCAGAATTCTTTTTTCATATAATATATGATTTTTACGTTTTAGTGTATTTATATACTGATTAAAGAATCTTTTAATATTATTTAATTAAATATTAATAAACAATCTCGCTATTGCGACTGTTGACGGTCAACGGCCGCCCTAATTCACTCGGATTTCTGGATCCACTGACCACGGGAATGAGTACTCTAATTAAGAAGTTTCAGAACTGAAACAGAGAAATGGCTAAATCATTTGCTAAGCATAACAAAATTCACCAAAGAATGAGGGTAAAAGAAATGACCGGACAAGAAATAAATTCAATAATAATAAAAAAATTGTAGAGTAATCAACAAATAAATATACCTGTGAGCCCCATCCAATCACCCCAATCTGCTTGATGCCCTTGAATGCATCAGGCAACAGCTTAAACAAATTTCTCCCTCCTCTCACAATGTACTGCATAAAAATAAACAGCATTCTCAGCCATCCACATCAACATGCAATTCCATAGATCCCACATTACCTCAGTATAAACTCATGCAATAAATATATACAAAAAGATATAATGGTGGCCAGCTCAAGAAATTGATCTAGCTTGTTTTCATCCTTCAGGAACAACATGAAACTTTTAGTTTGAAATTACATCGCAAGTTGAGTTATAACATGCTCAACTATTTCTTGTAGTAATAAGAACAGCAAATACACCTAATCCATTAATTCAAGCACATTCATATATAGACAAAGGAAGAGACGAACCTCTCATGGACATATAGCTGAAATAAGGAAAATTTGGTACATTGTTGTCTCTGTAAATTAGTGTGTGTTTGGTAGGGATTTTTTTGGGGAAGAATTGATTTTGAATAGTGATATGATGGGAAATGTTTGGTTGAAAAAGAAGATAAGATTATTGATGTGATAGAAAATATTATTTTATTGAAGAATGTGTGGTTGAAAATGAGAATTGATTTACTGTTGAAAATGAGAATCGGTACCAAACATAGCCTTAATAATAACAGGATAATTACCAACCTAACAAAAGAAGAGATAGCTTTCACAGAGCATCGTAGACCAATTTACCTTATTTAGCTTTATAAAATAAAAAAACATAGCAATCCCTAAATCCAAACAAATTCACATTCATTTTGAGGACGGAGGATATAAAGGTAAAACCTTTCTTTTAGGAGACGGACTATAATTGCAGCATAATTCCGTTCGGCCACAACAATGTACAACATTCAAAGACATTCACGATACTTGTACTCGTTGCACCTTAATTTATATGAGACCAAAGATGAAATAAAATAATTGAAAAATAAAATGAATTACATTCACAAATGCGTATACATATACTTAAAAACACGCATAAATATATGGACCTCATCGTGGCCAGAAAGGTTGATTTTCTCCTTGGTGAAAACGGAGGTGTCGAAATCTAGAGAAGCAGGTGGCTTCATGGTGGGAGTGGAGACCATGCGAGCCGAGAGAACCGAACCAGCAGGTGAAGCTCCGGCTCGAGAAGCGGAAGAGTGAAGCCGATTAAGCGACTGGGTAGATGATGAAAGGAAGCCCAAGCTGAGAGCACTAACTTTGGTTGATGGCTTCAGGATTTTGGATAAGGCGGAAGAGGAGGATAAGAAAGTGGTAGGCGTGGCCGCGGCCATCAGGGTCTTATATCTTTTGATGACTGGGGAGAAAGGAATGGTAGTATATACCGACAGTACTCAGTAGGAGCAGTTGGATAATTGGATTTGATAAGGGCACCCCTGAAATATGTGGTGATAGATTGACAAAAATACCCCTTGTTACTCTTTAATTTTATTTTTACTTTCTTTTGGTGAGTGGGAAAATATGTGACTGATTTAACACTTTAGAAACATGTAATTAAATTTGACACTTGACTACGGAATTCATCCTAAGTTTCAAATTTTTTTTTTTTTTTGCCTGTCGATGAAAAGATACGAGATACCAAATTGCAAATTGATTTTTAAGATAACTTTTAGGCAAAAGACATGTAGTCTCTTAAAATTTACGCTCCTGTTTGGTGTAGTTAAAATTTTTATTAGAATAATACTATTCAATATCACTGACATTAAGTATCAGTTTATGTGAGAATTTCATGACATTAAATGATAGATTCACTTAAATACTATGTCACGTAATCATTTAATTGGACCATCAAGTATGGCCACCTAGACTGATATTAAATATCATTATTCTTTTGATTAAAATCTAAGTCTAATTTGACATTTATTTTTAACCACAAATTTTCATGAGATTCACAATTTTTCAACCGCACATTCAATCAACCATTATCAAAATTTATTAAAATTTTATTTTTTATCTAAACTAAATAGGGGTTATATCTTGTAACTAAACTTTATTTTGTTTTTATAATGATAATTAACTCAATTAAATTATGTTAAGTTTGAATAATAGAACTTGTGAATTGTAGGTTCCCATTGATTAACATAATCAAGTGATAAAAAATCTAAATAAAATATAAATTTTGTTGAACAATAATTGAGTGATCAGGGGCATCAAACTTCAGATTCAAAATTCGGATAAATCCAAAGTTTCATGCCATTGATCACTGTGATTGACAATGTTAAAATTATGTTTTGTCCAACTGTCAATCTCAGTCTGTGAACCCGACAAAATGCTTGAAAAAATTTCCGATAATGTAGCACAACTCTAAAACTTCATGAGGTGCTTCAACCCTAAATTTGGCCACCTACTAGAAATTACACTTCAAATTCAGTTCCCATATGTAAATACGCTAAAACTGACAAACAAATTGCGTACATGTTATGAAGAGCAATTTAGGAAATATAAGAAATTACGTGTCTAAAATTTCGTATTCATATCCCTACAATATATAAAAGAGGATAATTGATTACTATTCATAAGACATCATCCTTAGCTCACGAAGATGCCACATATATGTATTTATATCCTACAATAATAATAATATAAAGGAGGAAAACAATGTCGTTTTGTCTCTACAATATATAAAAGAGGATAATTGGTTACTATTCATAAGGCATCATCCTTAGCTCACGATGATGTCATATATATATTTATATCCTACAATAATAATAATAATAATAATATAAATGAGGAAAACGATGTCGTTTTGATTTCTTACACAAAAAAAAAAAAAAAAAATTTTCTACAATCATCTTCTCCGAGGACCGATACTTCACACGCAACAATCACTTCCATTCTTTTGTCAGAATCACCCATATCTTTACTCCACTATTTTCCCAAACAATCATTCGTATATTTCCCTTCTTCGTCTCTGTGTTTATTTTCTTTCTCCAAAGAATGACTTTATAAGGTGTGCCTAAAGCCGATTTGTGTATCTAATAAAACCCTAAAAAATCTCTCGCTCAATCATTTATGTTCCTTTGTGTATAAGGTTAGATCTGTTTTTTACAAACGTAAGTTGTAATTTTCTCATTTCTTGAATATCAAAGTGATTTTGGCTGGTGAGTATTTTGTATTTCATTATTTATCCTCTGTAAGTGAAATTTATTTCTCCATTTTGTTTATTGTGTGTTCGCGCTTGTAAAAACATGTTTTTTAGTTACAGTTTAGCCTTTTCACTTCTTTGTTTTTGAAAATCCAACTGCAACTTCATTTTTTGCTTCTCTATTTTTAGGATTCGTTGTGTGAAGGAGTAATTTCACTTCCTTTACATCAAAATGTATGCATTTCATCTCTTTTTCGCTTTAGTACTGTTGCGTTTTTTATATCGCAAGTGTACAATATCGTCACAAGTAATATAGTGGATCTTTAAGTCTGAATTATCGTTCCCACGAGAACTATATTTTAAGATTTAATCTAATTTTTATAACTCCTATTTTTTCCGGTCAGTGTGAATTTCATGGTCATTCCTTCAATTGGGTTTCTTATTGTGCTTTTCCTTGGACGTGCTTTTTTTTTTTGGAATTATGTAATCATTCTCTTGAACTTAATTAAATAATGAATAATGTATCCATCGTGACCACGAACTCTCTTTTATCAATTATCACTTAATGTATATTTATAATCATTCATGCTAAGTGTTACATCACTATATGTTTAAATTTTTCTAAAATATATTTTCGTTCTCACAAATTAAATTGCAAAAATATAATAATCATCGTGCAATGCACGATACACTACTAGTTTGAATAAAATATCAAAACACTAAGAGTTGCACTTGCGTGTGAACACTGGCGAACTCCCGCGCCCACCCCCAACCCCCAAAAAAAAACTTTTGAATTTTTTTTAAAAGTCATGTTTGGTATCGATTGAAATCTAATTTTTAATCTAAATCAAATTTAACAATTAATTTTAATAACATATTTCATGGAATCCATAATTTTTTAACTTTTATTAAAATTTACTAAAAATTGATTTTAATCTCCAACAAATAGGGACAAAATTACAATAAATTTGAATTTCGATAACATGCTGATTTTTAAAATTCTCCGACGATTGTGCGCTAGTCGAATCTACAAATTGCTTATGTTATCTCAAAGTTTATTTCGAGAACTACATTATAGGCATATCGAACAGTCCAAACATATATCGAAAATAGTTAAAAATGCGTTAAACGCAATTATTAAAGAAAGACGTCTAACTCGCATTTTTTTTTAAAAAAAACCAATTATTTCATTAACATTTATTATTTTTATGGTACAAATTTCTCAATGTAATTTTCACATTTTATTAGGAAATTTTATATAACATCAAAAAATTTCGAAATTATACATCCGAAAAAGTTATATCTCATGTAAATTTTCGAATGCAAAATTACACGAGGTATGATTTTTTTTTTTGGATGCAAATTTTTAATTGTAAAAATTCTTCCAACTTTTTTACAAGTTTGATTGTGCCCCCTAACTTTAAAGTTCTGTGTCCATCCCAGCGTGTGAAAGTAGGACTCTTTCGCCGGCTGCCACAAAGCAAAAATTAGTTGGTACGGTTTCCGTCCAAGTTTTGCTGCATAATGCCATAATTAATTAATTATTTCAGTTTAATCGTGCCCTATTTGGACTTCATTTAAAAATAATTTTTCAAATTCATTTATCATTCATACATTTTTTTCATAAAATAATATTACATAAAAATTCAATTTTTTTTCTTAACTACTCATTCTTCAAACAATCATTATTCCAAAATAATTATATTTTATTGAATTCTCATCATTTTTATGGGTGATAATTATAAATTAAGAAACTATAATAGGTACTGAATTTGACCCCTTTCTATTTTAAAATCTTTGTTAGCAACTAACAAAGATGGATTAAAGCTCCTTTATTCCATTACTCCACTCCTGTTATTACATAATTTTTTGCTATTGTATTATGCCCTCTTGAAGACAACGCTGAGCGGGGATGTGTTCACAGCCAAACGTTTTCTATTATCTTGGAATACCGGACCAACATCGCCACACATAACCCTGCACCTTCTGCAAACTGACGGACAGTACTGAATCTTATAGTAATTATTACGTTCCTTCTGAATCTTGAACCAGATGGGCAAAGTTTCTGGCCCAGGTCTCCCTTCAACTCCACCAACTGTCACGAACGAACCCGCTTCCTGTTGCTGGCTGGAGTCGAATTTCCAGACCTGGGATTCGTGGCATGTCGTCTCCTTCTGCTGAAAATCAGTGAATTTTATATTCAAATCATTGTTGAGTTGGATAACTCTGTCGCGTGCATTGGCAGGGGAAAAGGTAACGGGAAGGCCATTGGAGGGCTCGCTCACAATTTGAACGATTTCGTAGGGACATTCGCCTTTGTTGGTTGCTAAAGTAAGGCCGGCCCCTGCGCCCGGGGAAGGTGGAAGTATGTAGTACTTGACGCCGGGTCGAACTGGATAGCCCTCCGTGTCAAGCACTGGCTTAGAAGAACCTGTGAAGAAATTTGTTGAGAATAGTGCAGCAAGGAAGAATGTAAACATCATTGTTTTCTCCATTTTTGTTATCAGTTGAAGTATGATTTAAATGCTTATATGCATGGAGTAGTGTGCCGTATTTATAGGGTGCGTGGATGCATTATCTGTACGCCGCGACAAGGCCTGGATTTGAAAGTTTTTATTCAGAGGACACCTGTGGGGGATTTAAGGTGACAAACTGAAAAATGTACCGCTATCTGAAATCAGAAACTGCAGAAAATATTATACTCGTACAGGCCACTTGGGCGGGCTTGTACAAGTGCCACGGGCAGGTGTTCCTGTACAAGTGGAACTAACAAAAATACTAATGATGGTAAAGATAAGATTAAATGGGGCTGTAATTCTGCGTGCAGATTTTTTTCCCCTTCGAAATGTCGATATTTCTCCCGCCACCCTACAGCAAGGGAACACCTGCTCCCCGGCACTTGGGCGCCTGTACAAGTTGAATAAACCAAAATATTAATGCTCGTAAAGATAAGATTTTTTTTTTCTAGTCATCACCTTTCAACATTTTTCGTCCTATCATCATCACGTGTCACTGCCTTAGAAATCCCAAGATGATAAATACTATCATTACAATGAACACTAATTACTCCATTAACAAGCAGATAACCATTGAACAGATTATTATTTTTGAGTGTAATTCAAATGTTTAAATGATTTGGGACTATGCTCTTAATGTATCTCCGACAATCAATCTTTTGAAAATATACTAATCTTGCAATAGGATTATCCATTTGAATTTTAAATAAGACGCGTTTGATTTAATTAAAAATCAAAATTTTAGCAGATTAATTTTGATAAAAAGTTAATAAAATGTGTGAATGAAAAAGTTGTGGATACCTTTTAGTGTTGATTTTAACTTAAATTTTATCAACTTTTAAAGATAAACCAAACATGTACAAGACGTATTGGTTACTCGAGTATTTTGGTCTAATGGACTGTAATCTACCTTTTAATTTATTATTATCGTATTTAAACGACGTGGAGGGATTATATCTTTTAACACTCCGTATGTCGAAGGCATCAATATAAAAAATAAAGTGATAGTTTACAGTCAACTATTGGCTCCATTTTGGACATTATAACAAACAGTTCCCCAATAATAGAATACTATTCTTTGCAAAAATATTACATGTTTTACTCCATCGATGGACATGGACCTTCAGAGTTCGAGTGTCAATTGTCAATAATAACGCTGCACATGATTTTGTTTATAAAGCAATTTTCGAGTCCTAAACGAACTCGGATGTCTAAATTCCATCATAGTCCGGTTCGTCGTTTTCTTTCTGAAAAGGTATTATGGGCTCAAATCGGAGCTCAAACGCCAAATCTACTATTTGCCGTTTTTCCATTTTCAATCCAACTATTCTTCAATTTATTCGACCATCTATTCTACATCACCACTAGAGAGAACTAGAGGAATCCATCGATTTTGTGCATCATCCCGACTAACCAGTAAACTGGGGTAGTGTTGAGAACAGATACTGTGACGAGTCACAGTTGGAAGCGACACGTGACACCATATTTTTAGCAGTGAGACCAGTTTAATTAAATCAGGGTATATTTTCCTAGCATCAGACATGGGTTCCGAGGCCACCGCCGTTGTTCCGAGGCCACTATGGTTAACTATAAAGCACGCTTCGGTGAACATGCACTGTCCGAGGCTCCCTTGCAGCC